AACCTCTTCTATTCTTACTAAACTCAATGTAAGAGCACCACATCAAATTTGAAGACAAACCTCAGGAGAAACTCATGCTTATTATGAAGGGTGCAGACATCTATGATAGTGAGACTATCTACATTCCCCCTTTTTTCTGATACTCATATATATACCCTCCTCATGGTCTAACAATAGAGAAGTAGAGCATATTATAGGGTCAGTGTATTTCAGTCAAATGTGGCCTTTCTGGCTACATCACCTGTTTTGCTCTTATTCCTTCTCTCACATCCATGTGTCAGTGGGTAGTGATTTCTCTTTATGGGCTACAAACTGTATTAGGTCTTCCGTCTTTTACTGTTTGGAAACTTCTTCACAGGCTTAGACTTTTCTCTTTCTCTGTCAATGTTATCAATAAACTACATCTCCCAGTTCTTCCAGGACAGCATTCTTGAGAATCCCCTTCATGACTGTTTTCTTCCTTACACTCCTTATTGATAGAGCAAGTGTGCTTTTCACAGAGATCTGGCTTTTTGTACTTTGTCCCAGCACATGAACTCTTCTTGGTCTTGATCCTCAATCTGAGAACTGGAGATTTAAATACTATGAGATGCACATGACTGAGGCCTGTTTTTGTTATCCATTAAACAATGTATAGTATTTCTTGTATTTTTATTGAATCTTTTAACGATAATTCAATTTTTAGTTGTGTTTGTGATTTTACATGTCTTTAGGTTTGCCTTTTTCTTTTTCTTTTTGTTCTGGTGCACCTGTCCTTGTTGGTGGTTTGAGTATCTTTTGCAATTTTTATCATTGTGATTTTTTTTTCTTCTTTTACAGCCTATATGATTTGGGTCATTGTCTTGGATTTAAGAGCAATCTAGAGGCCTATGTTAAGCCCTGAATTTCACCTTTACTTGCATGTGTAATGTGACTCAGGTCTCATTAATTTGAGTGCAGGATAGTGGTTAATCCCACCCTTTTTGATTCTTCTGAGTGAACCTTGTTTCTGGGTGTTCCAACTTGACCCTAGAACTGGGTGTGTTCATTGCATTAGCAGTGAGCTTGTGTCTTATTTCTGTGATTACTGTTGATGTTGTCTTAATGTCTTTCATCCATGGCTACACATTTTTTCTTGGCTCTGGTGTGTTTTTTCCAGAAGGCTGCGCAGAAATCTAGAGGTTCTAGGAGTTGAGGAGGTGAGAATAGGCTCCCAGTGGTTTTCAACCTTCCTAATGCCCCAATGTATTTTCATTGTTAAAAAGGGGTCATGACCCACAGGTCCTGTCCTTGTTGGTGGTTTTGAGTATCCAGTGGAGGGATGCATTGGGAGCCAGGGAGCATCCCCCCATTGGGCTGCTTTGAGGTTGTGCATGTGACTTGCCCTGAAGGTTTTTCATTATCCAGAGGCTGGGATAATCTGTGTCCACATGTAGTGTTCTTTCTACTCAGCCCTAACTTCACTTTTTTCAATCTTTTATCATTCCAAAATAAACCCACTAAGAAAGAAACCTCTCTTATTCTCCAGGTCACCAATATTGTTCAGTTTAGTGACTTATTCTGAAGCTTCAAGTTACATAATCTGCCAAAGCTGATACCACTGAAACTCCTGCAATTCACTTATATTTAGCTTGTTAGATTTCACACTATCTTGATTTTCCTCCCATACCATTGGTTCTCCATAGCTCCTTTTTGTTCTTTTGTTTTGTTCATTTATCCTCAAACTCTTTTTTTTTTTTTTTTTTTTTGAGACAGAGCCTCAAGCTGTCTCCCTGGGTAGAGTACCATGGCATCACAGCTCACTGCAACCTCCAACTCCTGGGCTCAAGTGAGTGTCCTGCCTCAGCCTCCCAAGTAGCTGGGACCACAGGCGCCCGCCACAATGCCTGGCTATTTTTTGGTTGCAGTCGCCATTGTTGTTTGGCGGGCCTGGGCTGGATTTGAACCTGCCACTTTGGGTGTACGTGGCTGGCGCCTTAGCTACTTGAGCCACAGGCGCTGAGCCTATCCTCAAACTCTTAATGCTGGAGTGTTCTATGAATCAGTTCTTCTTGTTCTATAAACACACTCCCCTGCCATAATCTTATCTTTATCATTTTTAAGAAGTAGAGGCAATGTCTACCAAAGTAATATAATGTTTAGGTTAGTGAATGCTAGTACATCAAAATGCCTACTCAAATGTGGCTTACAAGACATTGCAAGTTCAACATGTTCACAATTGAATTCTCAATCTTCCCCAACTGAAGTTTTCCTCTCTTTATGTTGATGAAGACACTGTATTTCCAGATACTGAAGACCAAAGCCATTGAGTAGTCACCTTGGACTTCTCTTTTGCACCTGACATCTCAAACCTGAACAAATCTTCTAGTTTCATTACACTTACCATATAACTTGCATACAACCAATTCTTACTCTACTCATTATTACCACCGATTTCTAAGCCACATCATCTTTTACTTGAATTACTATCATAGTTCCTACTCTTACTTAGTTTTTTATAAAAGCTACATGTCAGCATGTTTGCTTAAACTGGCCAATGACTGCCCTTTTCGCTAACAATAAAATACAAATGCCTCACAATGGTTTACAGGTCTAGAATACTCTGGTTCTATTATCTCTCTTGTTTCTTGAGAGCTACAAGATACCATTCTACAAGAACTTCCCTGATATTCCTAAAATAATATCTGCATGATCCCATTTCAGAGCCTCCTTATCCTTTTCCTCTGTCTGTAAAGCTGTTTAAACATTGACTTACTACCTCATCCCTTCTAATCTTGACTCAAGTCCTTCCTTCTAAATGGTCTATTTTGATCATTGTTTCATAAAGCAACCTAAGCTGTGATATTCCACCATGTCTTTTTTCTTGTTTTTGTTGAGACAGAGTTTCACTATGTCACCCTCGATAGAGTACTGTGGCATAATGGCTGACAGCAACCTCAAACTCTTGGGCTTAACCCATTTTCTTGCCTCAAATTCCCAAGTAGCTGGGAATACAGGCGCCCATCACAACACCCAGCTAGTTTTTGTTGTTGTAGTTGTCATTGTTGTTTAGGAGGCCTGGGCTGGGTTTGAACTCGCCAACCCTGGTGTATGTGGCCAGCACCCTAACCTTTGTGCTATGGGCCCCAAGCTGCCATCGCCTTCTAAGTTACTTTTCTCTGTATCATGTTTATGTTCTAACATACTTTATATGTATTACCCATCACTTCCTGCTAGAATTGTTCTCTGATATATCCTAAACACCTGTGATAATGGTTGAAATACAGTAAGCATCAAATATGACCACTTTTGGGCCAAGAGGCCGAGGTGAGGAAAGTATAAATATGATGGCTAGCAGAATACCTTCATATGTATTGGCAGTGGTCTCATTTCTTATTTGGGTTGTTGTTTTAAATCACTGTAATTACCTTCACTTAAGGGTAGAGGGCTGAGTGCCTCCATCAGAGATGGCATCTCTTACAAAGCAAATCTCCTTGAGTTGCTACTAGTGGCCTAACTTCACTCTGAATTTCTTTCATAAGTCATTAATGAGAGCAAAAAGAAATACTCAAAACACTCATTCTAAATCACTCCTCTCATTTCCCTTAACATTACAGCCTCGACTAGCATAAAGCCTGCCTTGTAATATTGAAAAGCAATGAATGGCTTGGCGCCTGTGGCTCAAGTGGCTAAGGTGCCAGCCACATACACCTAAGGTGGCGGGTTCGAATCCAGCCTGGGCCCGCCAAACAACAATTACAGCTGCAACCAAAAAATAGCTGGTCGTTGTGGCAGGAACCTGTGGTCCCAGCTACTTGGGAGGTGGAGGTAGGAGGCTTGCTTGAGCCCAGGAGTTGGAGGTTGCTGTGAGCTGTGATGCCATGGCACTCTACCCAGGGGGATAGCTTGAGACTCTGTCTCAAAAAAAAAAAAAAGCAATGACCAAATGTCCTGCCACTAAAAACAAGAATCTTCTGGTTTCTAGCCTGATCTGAGTATATCCTCATTCTCAATGGCCCTATACTAATGACATATTTGAAGTTGCTTTTACCCACAGCACCCCAATTCTAGGTACAAAATTGTATAATAATTTTTATTGTAAATAACAGGACTCTAAAAGCATCAACAGACATTGAATTTTATATGGAGAAATACAGAACGCAAGCAGACCAGAGCTAGTATGGTTGTTCTACATCTGTAATACCCAGATACCATCTTCAGAATCTCCATCAGAGTATCAGAACTTTAGCCTGTATGTCACTATTTTAGGTATGGAAAAAAGAAAGGCACATAGGAAAAATAGATTTTAAAATGTCCTACTCAGTAGATACCAAGTTTATATTATTGACCAGTAATGATGGCTGAGGTAGTTTTTCAGCCCAGAATTTTGTCACTAAGGAAGTGAATATAGATACTGCTTACATGAAAAAAAAAGTCTCTGACACAAATTCTCATCATTTTCAATTGTAAAATAGTCCATAATGGCAGGCATTGTTTTCTGTTTATTTAAAAAGCAGTATATTCAGGTTTTTAAAGTTCCTACTAAATCTGTTAGATTTTGGATCTTAGACTTTGTTACAAATTACTTCATTTCTCCTATATTCTCTAATGGCTGTACTCAAAAATCCATTGATTCAATCTACAAAGTTTCTTTATGGTACGAATTTGCTCTTTTACCATAAGGGATGAGATTTAAATCTGTCCCTACTCAAATCATCTTAGTTAAGCATTAATGAAAGATTTCTCCATATTCTTTACACTCACAAGTGCTCTCCTCTCATGCAAACTCTCTAAACTAACACCACTGAAATTGATAGCTAATATCTGTGATATGTTCAAGGCACTGTTCTAAAAGATTTAACATATAATAAGTTACATAATACTTCCATGAATCTGTTGAAGGTATTATTAAGTCTATTTTATAAATGAGTAAACCAAAGCAGTGAATTATCACGATACTGATATATATATATATATATAAGGAAATAAAATGGTAGAGATAAGAGAATGATGAAAAAGACAACTGCTGTAGTTAAAGGCCTTCACACATATAGTACAGAATTATTTTCTAATTTCGTAAGGTTAATAGGTTACAAATGATAGGCTTTTCTACATGGATTACATTAACATTCACATTCTCCTATATAGATGTTCTGATGCTGACAAATATGGCAAATGTTCTCCCATATTCACATTTGTGAAAGTTCTTTGCTGACAAAACGTAAATAACCATAGAAGGTTCTATGTGCTGATACCACAGAATCAGATAATTCACATGTAAACTTGTGAGCCATAATTAAAATCTATCCCACATTCCCTATATTCAAAAGCTTTCTCACTAATATGAATTCTCTGATGCTGAGTTAGTTGTGAACCACGAGTAAAGGCCTTCCCACATTGTTTACACTGATAGGGTTTTTCACCAGTATGAACTCTCTGATGTCGAGAAAGATGTGAACTCTGAGTAAAGGCCTTTCTACAGTGTTTGCATTCATAGGGCTTCTCTCCAGTATGGATTCTCTGGTGGAGAGTAAGTTGAGAGCCATGACTAAAAGCCTTTCCACATTCTTTGCATTCATAAGGTTTTTCTCCAGTGTGAATTCGCTGATGTTGAGTCAGTTGTGAACCACGAATAAAAGCCTTCCCACATTCCCTACACTGAAATGGTTTCTCACCAGTATGAATTCTCTGATGTTGTATAAGTAGTAAACCACGAGCAAAGCCCTTCCCACACTCATTACACACATAAGGTTTCTCACCAGTATGAAGTCTCTGATGTTGAGAAAGATGTGAACTCTGAGTAAAGGTCATTCTACATTCCTTACATTCATAAGGCTTCTCACCAGTATGAATTCTTTGATGTTGAGTAAGCTGTGACCCACGAATAAAAGATTTACCACATTCCTTACATTCAAAGGGTTTCTCCCCAGTGTGAATTCTCTCATGTTGAGTAAGTTCTGAGCCACGACTGAAGGTTTTTCCACATTCTTTACATTCATACGGTTTCTCACCCGTATGAATCCTTTGATGTCGAGTAAGGAGTGAGCCACGATTAAAGGCCTTTCCACATTCCTTACACTGATAAGGTTTCTCACCAGTATGTATTCGCTGATGTTGAGTAAGTTGTGAGCCATGACTAAAGGTCTTTCCACATTCCTTACATTCATAGGGCTTTTCATTGGTATGAATTCTCTGGTGTTGAGTAAGTTGTGAGCCACGTATAAAGGCCTTCCCACATTCTTCACACTTGTAGGGTTTTTCACCAGTATGGATCCTCTGATGTTGCATAAGTAGTGAGCCCCGAATAAAGGCTTTTCCACATTCTTTACATTCATATGGTTTTTCCCCATTATGAATTTTCTGATGTTGAGAAAGCTGTGAACCACAAATAAAAGCTTTCCCACATTCTTTACATTCATAGGGTTTCTCACCAGTATGAATTCTCCTATGGAGGACAAGTTGTGAATGCTGTGTAAAGACCTTTCTACATTCTTTACATTCATAGAGCTTCTCACCTGTGTGAAGTCTCTGGTGCAGGGTAAGCTGTGAATTCTGAGTAAAGGCCTTCCCACATTCTTTGCATTCGTAAGGTTTCTCACCCGTATGGACTTTTTGATGCCGGCTGAGTTGTGAGCTACGAATAAAGGCTTTCCCACATTCTTCGCATTTATATGGCTTTTCACCAGTATGAATTCTATGATGTAAGATAAGTTGTGAGCTTTGAGTAAAGGCCCTCCCACATTCCTTGCACGCATAGGGTTTCTCTCCAGTATGAAGTCTCTGATGAAGACTAAGTTGTGAATCCCGACTAAAGGCCTTCCCACATTGCTTACATTCATAGGGTTTTTCACCAGTATGAATACTCTGATGTTGACTCAGGTGTGATGCTCGTCTGAAGGCTTTCCCACATTCCTCACATTTATAGGGTTTCTCAGTAGAATGACATCTTGGACTTTGAGATAAAAAAGTATGCTGGTTGAAAATGGACATTTTGTCATACGTAATCATCCCTTGCCTTAAATGTTCCTTGTGATCTTGTTGCTTCTCTACCTTGCCATTGGCTTCCAAATAGTCTCTGAAATTGGACTTTTTAAGATCACAGTTTTCAAGTCTGTCACTCAATTCCCATTGGGATAATTTTGCTTCATAAAAGTCCTTTTTTGGAGATAAGTCCTTATTTGCACACCTTAAAGGCAAGTCTGAAAAATAAGAGAACATCAAGAAACTGAGGAGAAACAGAACTTCTATTCCAGAGACCAAAAATAGGAAAATATTATCCATAAGAAGTAACAGGCATACATAAATGTTTGAAATATTGTTTAATATGATCCATAATGACCTTTCACATCACAATCTATTACACAGTTTCTTAAAATAATACCTACTCATTTCTATTCTATTTTACATTATTCTATTCTTTTCTAAATTACTCTCTGTCTCTCAGAGACACCCCCTAACACCCAGGCAAAACTGACTATAGTGCAGTAATGTTCTTACCTAGAGTTTAAAAATCTCATCTAATAACATATAATAGAAAGACCATAGGATAATGAAAATTCACCCGAGAAGGGAAGATATTCAGAATCACTGACAAAGTTTTTTTGTAATCTTGGTGAGAATCAAAACCATCAGGGGAGGTTCTTTTTTTTGAGACAGAGCCTCAGGCTATCCTCCTGGGTAGAATGCTCTGGCATCACAGCTCACAGCAACCTCCAACTCCTGGGCTCAAGTGAGTCTCCTGCCTCTGCCTCCCAAGGAGCTGGGACCACAGGTGCCCGCCATAACGTCTGGCTATTTTTTGGTTGCAGCCGTCATTGTTGTTTTGGCGGGCCCGGGCTGGATTCAAACCCGCCACCTTAGGTGTATGTGGCTGGCACCTTAGCCATTTGAGCCACAGGCACTGAGCCAAGGGGAGCTTCTTAATTGTGTAAATATCCTATATCAGAAACAGAAAGAGTGAATCAGAAAAAGAGCATGAGCAGCTCCTAAATACTTTCAACTAACTGGTTCGTATTAATATTCTGAATATGATTTCCCGTATCTGCTTAAAACCATTTAACAGTTTCCAAATGAAACAATAAAACTTACATTTTGCCATGATTTGGACCCCACCCCCACCCCGTTCCCCCTACTATCTGGTCCCTGCATATGTATCTGATTTCCTCCATGAACTTTCCTCAGCTTTGCTCATTATTTACCAAACTAGCTTGCTTTTAATTCAAAAGTTACAAGGACTTTTTAAACATAGAATTAATCAAGGCCTACTCCATCTCTTTGGAAAGCTCTCTATAAGATTATGAAAACTTGCTGTTACTCTTCAGGTCTCAATTTAGTTATTAGTTACTATATCGTGAACATACATTTCTGGTAATTTAGACAAAAATTCCTGATGATAGCAAGTATACAAGTTGAACAAATTGTAAAAGATACCTGACTGAAGGCATGGGGAAGTTAATATAGAAATAGTCAGTGGGGTCAAACTTGAAAAACAAAAATCCAAGAGATTAGTGGAATGTATGAGCCTACTTTTGTACTTAATGAAGTCTTGAATTCTAAAAAAGGAAATTAAAAGGAGAAAAAACTAAGCAGTGTTTTGGACTGTTTCATTGGATTGGCATCAGTTATAATAGAACAGGGCTTATCATAAAGCCTCAATGCTTTGGGGTGGAAACCCTATGGGCTACAATGAGGAGTAAGGGAGAAAGAGCAGACCAATCTGAAGAAAGACCTGAAGCCTGAATCATCTTTGAATCATCTCAAGTATAAAAATTTAGATTAAGTGATTTATGACTACTGGCCATAACAAACTCAAATCTTTATTGGAGATGTATAATATCATTCATTGCCTCAAATTTTATTCTAATATTCCTTCACAATATGACATTGGACAATTATGTTCACAAACTCACTCCAGAAAAAATACTACATACCTTACTGCTGAATGTCACTATAGTTACCTTCCAAGTACTACCCTTGGGAAGCTATGTACCTAGTCTACCCTTCAAAGCAATTTTGGAAATTTATTAATTTTTGAGATAGAGTCTCATTTTGTCACCCTTGGTAGAGTGCCATAGCATCACAGCTCATGGCAACCTCAAACTCTTGAGCTTATGTGATGCTCTTGCCTCAGCCTCCCAAATAGCTGGGATAACTACATGCACCCGCCACAACTCTCGGCTATTTTGTTGTTGTTGTTGTAGTTGTCGTCGTTTTGGCAGGCCTGGGCTATGTTGAAACCCACCAGCTCTGGTGTGTGTGGCTGGTGCCCTAGCCACTGAGCTACAGGTGACAAGCCAATTTTGGAACTTTTTCTAGAATGACCATAAGAGCTTTCGTCATATGGCAAACAAAAACATGCAACAATAGATGCCACGTAGCAAGATACTGCCACCTGGACATGAACACAGCCATAAGACACTGGTATATCAAGATGATGAAACCTTACCCAGGTGTTTGTACAGTGCTGCCAACGTAAGCCCACGGTGGCAAGTTTTTGAACTTAATTGTCAGACCTCATATGATGACAGCTTCCCAAGAGAAGTACTTCAAAGGTGACCATAGTAATATTCAGCAATGAGGTATGTAGTGCTTTTCCTCGGATGAGTACATGAACTTAACTGCCAGACCACGTACGTAGAACTCAGTAAAAACCAGGGTAATAAAGGCAAAAGAGAACTTAACTGAAAAACAGAACAGATAAAGACCAATAAGGAATCAAGCAATCTATATGATATCACTACGGTCCTACCACTCTTAAACATTTTTATGGTATTCTTTTGTAATCAAATATTTCTCCCACATGGGAGATAGATGCCTGAACACCATTAATCTGTGGCTTCCCCATCGCTTCTTTAATGATGTAAACAAAGAACATTTACACTAAATCTGAATTCATACATACAGATAGCTCTCCAAATGCCTCATCTCTTACATACTATTTCCCAAGTACTAGCCATGGTTATCTTCTCTAGTTCTTTTTCAAACAAAATACTAAGTTCCTCTTGTTTATTTATCTTTATATCACAGTTTCTTATTTATCTACATAAGACCAACTCTATGTATATATCCCAGAAGAATATCTTTTATCATTTTCCAGGCATTAACACAGGTCTAAAACATATGGAAGATTTCTATAATTTTACAAAATGTTGGGGATATTGGAGAGGAAAACAAACAATTATTTAATATATGGGAAGGCGTCTATAGTAGCAAAGTTCTAGCAATTCTATTTTTAAAAAGTTCTACTCAGGTGGCACCTGCAGCTCAGTGCATAGGGCACCAGCTCCACATACTGAGGGTGCCAGGTTCAAACCCAGCCCCAGCCAAACTGCAACAACAACAACAAAAACACAGCCAGGCATTCTGGTGGGCACCTGTAGTCCCAGCTACTCAGGAGGCTGAGGCAAGAGAATTGCTTAAGCCCAGGAGTTGGAGGTTGCTGTGAGCTGTGATGCTACAGCACTCTACTGTGGGTGATAAAGTGAGACTCTGTCTCTAAAAAAAAGAAAAAAAAAGTTTTACTTAGAAAGACAGATCAAGAAATAGAACAGAAGAAAGTCTTATACAGTGGTGCTGAAAATGCAAAACAGTAGAATAACAAAAAAAGAGTTTGGTACTTTCATGCCATGGAACTTTAGCCTGGGTGATAGAGTGAGACTCTGTGAAAGAGGAAGGGGGAAAGGAAAAAGGGAAAGGAAAGGAAAGAACAATAGACTTTGGTATTTTCTTATAAGATTAAACATATACTTAGCATTTGATCCAGTAGTCATATTAGTAGGTATTTACACTCATGTTCACACAAACATCTGTACACCAAAAAATTATACCAGCTTTATCTGTAATTGTCCCAAATGGGAATGAGTCTCTTGAAAAGTAAATGAGTCCATATCTTTGGTACTTCCAAAGATTAGACACCAGAACACTCTCAGCAATAATAGAAACCAAATATTGATTTGTACAACAATATTGATAAATCTTAAATCTATTTTGCTAAGGAAAAAAATGCCAAACCCTAAAGGCTACATATTTTGATCCCATTTACATGACATTTCTGAAAAGGCAAAACTTTAGGGATGAAAAAATAAGTCAGTCGTTGACATAGGTCAGGGAGGAGGAAAGGAGTTGTCAATAAAATAAGAATGAGGGAATTCAGGATGGTAAAAGAATATACACTTGATATGTGAATGGTATTATCAGGTTTCCAGAACACCAATAAATATTGGGTTAAGTATGACAAAAATCCTTTGAAAAGTATAGACAAACTAAGAAAAATAAAGGTCGAGAGGGGCCATATGAAATAAAGAAACTAAAAGAGTAAACATGCTCTGAAATTTGAGCCACCCCTGGGATATCTGCCAGCTTCAACTGCCTAAGGGTATATCTGAATGGTATAAACAAGGCCTTGAATGACTTAGAAATAAACCTCTTAACAAAATTAGAAATATTCAAAGCTTAACGTTCAGAGGAAAGAGGGAAAAAATCCATCTAATCTCAAAGGAAAATATAAAGAATATCACAGTCTTGGCCATTTTAAGAAATTTGACTTTACCCTGAGATGGGGACCCAAAAATAAATGCAGTAAATAAAAATTGGTGGGAAAGTACAAAAGCTAGGTGAAGAGAAGTTAGAAGGCTATTGCAATAATCCACCTGGCTTGGGCCACATGACTGTGGAGGCAGGGGTGGGGCAAGAGTGATATCTTTGGATAATGGATATATTGGAGTTATACTGAGGAGTATATGATGATGGAGTGGACAGACAGTATGAAAAAAAAGAACACATGGAAGACTGTATAGGCTTTGCATCCATGTGTTGGAAACAACGGAAGTGCTACTTAGTGAGAATTTGTCATTGTGACAGGAGGTTTGGGAGAGAATATTAAGACTTTGGCTTTGAATTATTGGGTATAACAGTAAAGATGTACAACAGACATGTACACATACAAATGTGTGGCCCTGAGGAGATACTGCAACTAGAGATATAAATTTGAATGGAAAAAACTATATTAAAATTATAATATTCAATACATACTGATAACAGAAGATGCATACAAGTCATGTTAAGCATCTCTTTTAATTGCAGAAGACTGGAACATTTAAAATTTAATACAGCTTTCTTTCTTAAAATATGAATACATTTTCTTGGCATCTTTTGTAGATGACATATAAAGGTTTTGAATTTGATAAGATCAACCAAGGAG